GGTCTGAAAATGGGTATGGAATTTAGAGTTCTGCTGGTCTGAAAACGGGTGTGGAAGATGACATTTTTTTTGGTCTGAAATAGGGTGAAGAATTTGGGGAACCGGGCGGCACACCCCCACCAAGAATTCCCAGGAGTACCCCCCCCCCCCGTTTGTATCTGTTCGGTCATCTTACTGTATAAGAGTGAAGAAAAATTTTTGACTAGGGCTTCAGTATTATTTTCCCGAAAATTTAGATGCAATTTAAAGAGTTACGAAAGTAAGAATTCAGTGTGATTCCTCTCTCCAAAGCATTTTCGAATCCGACAATTTTAGGTTTCCTTTTTCGACGAAAAATAGCTCAACCTGGCTGAGTGATATACGAAAAATAATACTCCTGGGGAATTTATTAGATAAGATTCGAAAATTGTACAGCTATAGAAAATTCCAGGCAATTTTACAGATTTCACAGAAAACAGTCGTAGTAACACCACCATGAGTCAGAAACAGTTTTATTACAACAGCTCGTAATCATTCCCTTACCGATGCAAAATCTCTTTCTGGCCATCTATTTCATTCTTCCATGTGGTGTAATCGGCTTGTTCCCAGTATGTTGTTGGCTCCTGATGCGTGACAGTGTGGTCCGCTATCTCATAGCCTCTGGAATACGCACTTTCCACCAGGAAGTAATCCGTATAGTTGTGAGAAATAAACAGCGTTCCCACGGCAGGGCAGCCATTGGGATTACTCACGCCGTCAAAAAGCTCGTTATAGAGATCATAGTATTGCTTTTCTAGATCATCGTCGAATGTAACCATGATGATTTGAGGAGTTTCCTCACGAGTCAGCCCCCCAGGAGGTTTACGATCATCGCTGCAGCGACAGTTCGGTGGAAGACACTTTGCAGGATCACAGGGTTCAGCGGGATGAAACTGCGCTCGAACGCAGGAAATGAACAAAATGAATCCCAAACAGGAAAACCAAGGATCCATAATCTTTATAAAAAGCAATGAACTACAGCAGCAACTATAGAAAGCTTCTGACTTCTCCAATTGCAAGTTCTCGGAATCTTTATCTTCACTCTGATTGTTACTTCCGGCGCACCGTTCAAAGTCCTGGACCACGCGATTTTTGAGTTTACCGTCTGTGGGATGTGAGCTTGCTCGTGGGAAATAAACTTGGAACCAGTGTGTCAAAAGAAAAATTTCCCACTGATATCCAGGGGCAGTTCCTGTTATAAATACGCGCAAGAACGTAGCCCCAGATTTTTTGCATCAAGTCACGTGAAGATAAAGGGTCACGCATTCCCAACATCCCATGTGTCTTAGTCATGTGATCGAATCCTTCGTGGAATCGTCGAACAGGATGTGCTGTTCTGCTACGTTTTCCTGTGAATTCTGCTCACTTTGATTTGTTTACAGTGGCAAAGGTATGTCAACTCCATACATTTTCGTTTTCTTCAAAAATTCGTTATCTACAGGTTGGAATTGCTTATGGATCATGTCTTTATTAATGAGCTTATCAGTTATGGGGATTTTGTGCCATGCTGTACTACTGGATACAATATCCATGCCCCGTGAAATTGTCATAACTGTTTTTAGTGGTGTCACGTCAGGATTTTATGTATAGTTATCGCAGCTGAAAAAGTCGGTAGTTCTGTGTGGCTTAAGACAGTAGTATTTTACAGAGCATGGGAGTATATTAGCGGAAATGCCGTGTTTACTCAAGTGAAAAAACGGACTTAAAATAGTTTAACTAATTACAAAATATTGCTTTCCCCGCACTTGCTCAGGCGAACTATCTTTTGTCTGTTGAAAGACTTTGATCCCTTCTAATATCCCCCATGATTTTTCCTATGCGAACCGCAAATTTTTTGCACAATTGTTATACGGTCTTAAAAGTTTATGTTTTGGCTTGTTTTTTTAGAAAACCCCTTTTCGTTCGATTCTGTCGTTTAGTCATTTCAATAATACTGCCAGGGAGCTATGAGACTCTACAAGATGGTTCTGTATTCGGCGGGTCGCTAGTCAAGACGAGTGTTTATAAAACTAGAGTGATTTTACTTCAACAGTGAAACAGATAGTAACAACTAGTACAAAATTGAGCTACAAATAAGCAAAGGAAGACAATTGAATTAGTCCATTATGGTGCGTAGTATATATTCTACTACATTGTACCTATTTCACGGGTTAAGTAAAATCACTCTATGACGTAAGACATATAAGTGTAAGACAGACTAAGAAACCTATTTTCAGTGTAAGTTTTTAAGAACAAGTAAGGGATATTTTTAGTGGCGTGGTGGCTAGTTGGCTTGTCAGTTGAGCTTTATAGTGTCTTTAATAATTAATAGGGAGAAAGGTGAATATTTTAGTGGCTCGGTAGCTTAGTGGATCATCAGTCAAGGTTAGAAGGAGATTAAGGTATTGATGTTTTACTGGGTCGGTTCAAGACTCATCAGTGACTGGCGAGCTGCAGAGACACCCCAACGAATATACAGCTTGTATACCAATTGCAAGGGAATTGGCCCTGTATTCTGTAGTTATGCCAAGGCTAGTTCATTATTAGTTTTGCATTAATGAGTCCTTCCATCTGACATCATCAAAATTATTAATTCCCACATTGTAGTAGGTTATTCTGCAAAGCTACTGATCCTCTTGCTGAATGGTTGGAATTTCAAAGCACTATTTGATTAATTTATTTCCAGTCCATTGGCCATGATGTCAGAGTGAGCTTCATCTTTGTAAAAGTTCAATCTTATAGCTCTCTGCTCTGATTAAAACACTCACTTCTGCTCTTTTGCACTGTTTTCCTCATAATTAACAGCAAGCTTAATTTGCCCCTCTCTTTAGAAGTGTAGGTTTGGAAAATTGGATGCACATGTATTTTGGATTTTGCCCTTTTATAGTCAGAAACCCTTTTACTAATTCATGGAAAATTCTTTAATCTTTTTTCTCCTGTCCCTTTATATTACTACTATATGTATTGTGTTCAACCCAACAAGTAGGCTTGCCATTGAGTGGCATTCATTTGACAGGCTATATTAGAGTCATGCATACAAACATCAAGTGTCAAAGCCAACTTCGGTGTAGGTGTGACAAGGACTAAGATCCTTCTCTATTGACTGAAGGATTTTCATTTCCAACCATGAAACTACAGGAAACTGCAACGTGAATTTTTTCCACGTGGGAGGAAAAATGGCAGCTGAATGGAGAGCTGAGTATGCTCAGTGGTATGGCAAGCTTGCGTGACATGCATGATCTGGGCTCTCATAGATTACATATATATATATATATTGAGCATACATTGTCTATGCTTTTATGCTTTGTGTTGAGATAGTACTGTACATGAGCTGATGTGGAGATTAAGGGGTTTTCATTTACTCCTTTTGTCTGACAAATTTCATTGGAATTTTTGTTTTCCAGATCCCCCCAAAAAATTATTTAAAAAAAAAACAGAACTTTGCACTATTATGTCGGCATATATATGGATGAATTCTTTTTTCTCAAGCATTATGGACAGTACCTTAACCAGGGCTTCTGATAGGTCGCGGAAGAAAAAGGCAAATTTCGCGAGATTTTTAGGGACAAATTCGCGGAAAAATTGGCCGATTTTGCGGGAATTTTGTGGGAGGTTTTAGGGCAAACTTCACCAAAAAGCAATTGGTAAAAAACAGCCAATTTTGTGGTTATTTTCAAGGCAAATTTCGCTAGAAATCGATCGGTTTTGCGCTGATCAGACCAGCATTTTTAACGTTTCTCTAACAGAGGCCATCATTTGCTCTTTCAACAACAATACGTTCCAGAAATGAACCAATGGCAATTAAAGCCTTTAACATCATGGCTAGTGCCCAGTTTTTCGCAACATAATTTACGCCTGGTAGTTTTGGGACATTGTTTGCACGTTTCAGTGACGAAGTTGCAAGATAAATTTGCAAGTTTACGGCAAGTAAATAGCCACTATAGCTGAAATAAGTTTCAAATATGTTGTACAGACAAGTGTTTGATGAGATTTCTACGGAATTTCGCGGTATTTTTCGTGGTTTTGTGAATTTAGGGGGATTTTGCAGATTTACCTGAATTTCACAGCTCTGTGACCATGTGAATATCAGAAGCCATGCTTAACTGAGTGCTCCTATCAGAACTAAATGAGCCTAGCTTTGGTATGGAAACTGTTTCTTACTGTGCTGTAGCTGCTTTATTAGGGTCTAATAGAACAGGGATAAAACAGATATATATATACCGAAATAAGTGACAGTCGTTCTTTCTTAAAATCCAGTTTGCAACAAATTGGTTCTGATTTTTTTCAAAGAAGTTATCACGCGTTTACATGTATAATATTTTTATTAGTTTTGTTGTTTTTAAAGGAAACGAGTTACATTAAATTTTGTATTTTGTAAATACAGTTAGTGAATATTCAGGAACATCCATTCAATTGACATAAAATTTTTATTCTGGAATAAGTGCATTAATATATTATTGAAAACATTCTGCACAGGGAAGCAGAATTACTTGGCAAAAAATTTGGTGGTTTTAAAAACAATGAAGGAAATGGCACACATTGCTAGCTGGTTACAAATCAACAGCATTTGACCACATATGTATGGTAAAGCAGTTAACATAAAAAGGTCAAGAAAAAACTGGCATCACATGTACCCTACTTGCCTCCAACTTATGACATTAGGTTTTACATAAGTTTAAACATTAATTTTTTGCTGATGCCATTGTTATGTGTGTTTTATTTGTATTTCTTTAGTTGTAAAGATGACTTCTAATCCATCCTCACCAACTGGTTATCTACACACCCTCTGTCGTCAGGGTAATATTGCTGCAATTCAATCCTACCTTAATGGGATAGAGGATAACAGCAAGTTGGAAGAGCGTGTTGGTTTCCTTGGTTACACTCCACTTCATGAGGCAACCAACCTAGGTCAAACCAAAGTTGTCAGGTTGTTACTCCTATATGGTGCAAATGCGAATGCCAAGGCCAATGGTTTCTACACACCTCTTCATATTGCAGCATCAATGGACAATGTAGATTGTGTGGTTGAGCTTTTGAACCATAATGCTGATATAACTAGTAAAGATGAGTTTGGAAAGACAGCTTACGAAACAGCCATTATACACAAATGCGAAAAGTCAGCAAGAATTCTTAAAAGTGAAGGTTAGTAAAGTTAATATAATCTTAAATGTTACAAGCCTACAATCAGGGACAAAAGTAGTTGACACACTTGTTTTAAAACGGGTGCTTTTAACAAACATTTAATTCATTTATTATTTCATTCTTTTTAAACGCCGTAAATCCCCTCACCCCCCGAATCAATGTTGTCTGAAGTAAAAAGAAGACTTGAGGGTCCAAAATTCAACATTGATTTTGGGGGGAAGGGGTTGGGGTAGACAGGGGAATTGAAGAGTATAGGTATATCCACTATGCAAAAAGGGGCCATTTTATGGAAGTATGTCAACACTTTTGTCCCTCATTATCTGAATGCAAAATTGTGCTACTGCACACAAGTTGAGCCGTGCATGACGCTGATTTTAACTGAAATTAAAGGAATCAATGACATAATTATGTTATTGGTGGTAGGGGTGACATTGACTTATTCACGACCGAATTATAGGGCCAATTTGAATTACTTGACGACGTAATAAAAGGGCTGCGATATCCAGAATTAACGTCGATATGGTTTACAAGCTGAAAACTGACGCTGAAACTCGCGCACATGTACAACTTTTGATGAATTTCAAGGGTATGCGTGCTGAAAATATTTTAAATAAAGTGAACATTTCTCGTTCGTCACTTTATCCGATTGTTAAGGCACAAACAATCACGGGTAGGGTAAGGATTGACACATGTCACACATTGTCACTGGCCGGCCACGGAAATATGGAGCGTTAGTGAGGAGCGGCCGTCGGAGCGTTCAATATCGAAACTACGGAAAAGTGAAGGTAAATTCATGGCCAATTCAATAAAAAAACTAAGGACAGCGTAGCAAACATTGCAAGTGTACACGAAAACAATTACTTTCAATCCCACCTCGTGACACCCTGTGTGACATGATAACGTAATGCAAATAGCGTGACATGAGCGCATATGTCTGTGTATTTGGACTGCATTTCTTAAGCGAAACCCCATGTTTCTGGCTATTGTCGGCAGAGAAAATGAAAAGAGAGCTTTGAAACGTAAACTGGTATTTGACTCCCAAAGAAAACGACAGCTCAAACTGAGGAAAACACTGCTTCCTTCGTGTTACAACGGTTAACCACGTTTCAGCAAACGGAAAGTAAACATTAGTCTTTTATGACCTCTTAATGTCGATATGTATTCTTGTGGTTAATCGTTGAAACTCCTTATTTGCACCACATCGCTGGAATTTTTCTCGCCAAGAATATCTATTACGAAGCACTTTCTACATAGCAGAATCTTTTTTTGCCTTTTGTGAGGAATTAGCGCATAAAAAAGGAAGATTTTCCAGCGCACGGCCGTCATCGATCACGTGTTATCCCGCTTTCCTTGTCATCAAGTGAACTACTGAGCCAAAGTAATTGCTGTTTTGGTGATGATACAAACTGGTGTGTCTACCTTGAAAACCATTTCTTTGGCATTCTGTGATTTACGAGCAGGGAAATGAAATAGTTGCCCATCCAACATCAATAAAAAATCATGTCACTGAATAAATGGCAGGCGGTCATCTAAAATCATTACAACTAAAGTACATTCCTAAGGGAGCATTCATAATTTACCAAGAGGGTGGGCTATGATGATTTTGAGGGGGGGGTCACTCTTTTTCACCACTATGATTTAGGGGGTGCTGTGGAAAATTTCCAACGAAAATTACATTGAGCATAGGGGGGGGGGGGGCAACCATAGTTTCCTGAAAAAGAAAAGGAAATGAAAATATGCTGTTGGACGCTCTTATAATTCCTGTCTTTTATTTCATTTCGACGAAATGTTGATACAGAACTAGAGTATGAAACTTGATGCATGACGCCCACTTCTTGTGTAATTTATTGCCAGGAATTCTCCTGCTCTATGTGTTATCGGCGTGTTTGAAATTAGCCTGCGTCACAAACGGAACTTAACCTCTGAGTCTAACCCTGATTAGATCATGTTCATCTGCGACGCAGGCTATGAAATCAGAGCGAGACGAACGCAAGGGAAGAAAGGATATCGTTTTCAGTTTTAGTTATTCGTTCCTGACTGAAAATGTATTGCAGCCACTTTCTAATTAACTGTTTTGTCCTTATCATTTATTTTACACAGAAAGGAAATGTGCCACCAAACAAGGACCCAGTCGCCGCCCTGCAGTACCTATTGGGACCCCCCCTGAACTGAAAGTGTCAGACCAGACTCACCATGATTGATAATCTGTTGTAAGACCTGTCAGAATATATTCTGGACCTGTACAGGTTCTGATTGTACCGTAAGACGGCACATATCTGCTTTTTGCACGTTTTACAGCTGTCTGGTATATAACAGAATGACTTCTTTTTAAGGAGAATTTTTGCTTGAAAATTGTCATACCAACCGAGCCCTAACAAACAGGATGTAAATGTGGTAGACTATATTGTTGTTAAATACTAAAAATAGACATAGCAGGATACAAATAACCCGCTCACACTCTTTGATAGTCGGGACGAGCGAAAAAGAAAGCGAGGCTTGCCCGTTTTTTCTTGCTTTCCGCTTGTTGTAAGCTTGTTGTAGACCGGCAACGGAACTTATCTTTTGAACAAAAATTTTAAAGAATTAAAAATATTCACTCATAAACGTACTTAAAAGCACTTATAGCTTTCCAATTTATTTTTGAATTGCAATGTTAAAAATTTTACATACTTTTATTCTTATTCCGGCTTCTGAGTTTTGTTTGTTTGGACTGTGTTTCGAAAGGTACGACTCTCTTAGCCAGGCTAATTGGGAGCTGCTGTTGAAAGACGCACGTCAACCAGAAGTGGACATTTTGCACTCTTGGGAACTGGTTTGTAGCCCAAATTTTCGGGCAGAATAGGGCCATTCATACGAGGAAAAATAGGACGCGCCTTACATAAGATGCGTCTTAAATAAGACGCGAAATTTCCGTATAAACGGCCATTTCGTCTAAAATAAGATGCGACTTAACTAAGACGCGTCTTATTTTAGAACAGCCCTTAACACCTGTTCTTAGATAAGACGCGTCTTAGCTAAGACGAGAAAAACTTCGTATAACCGACCTTCGCGTCTTACATAAGGAGCGAACGCATAGTACGCATGCGATAATTTTTGGAGGGAAAATTATCGCTTACCCCGCTTGGTCCATCGCGGAGGAAAAAGATTTTTTGTTATTATGTAAAGAGAAGGCGATAACAGACCTCCTGGACAAATGCGTGACATCTGCTGGTGTAAGCAGACCCTTTTAACTTTAAACTATCACAATTTATTAATATTTACTAATCAAATTGCTATCTTCGTATTATAAACTTACACTTTAAAAGTCAGTTTAAGTAGTATACAGAAGACTTAGATAAGACATGCTCGTATAACTGGTCCAGTTCGCGTCGCGTCTTATTTTTCCTCGTATAAATGGACCTATTGTGTCTTTAAGAGGAGGATGCATAGTAATACAAATTTGGGAGCGTCAAGGGCTGTTAAAAGGGAAAAGGTCTCACTTCCGGTTAACGAACATCGGTTAAAAAAAGACCGTTGTATAAGCTCCCTAACAACGTCGTAAGTCTCAGACAACACTGATACAGCTTTATTCCCAGTTTACATTTCGCAAGGTGTCGGCCAGAAGGGGAACATATTAGAAAGCCGAGAAAAGAATCTACACAGATAAAAGCGAGCGTTGTTGTTTTATCGATTTTAAAACACTTAAACACAAGACGCAGCCGATTATTTTCGTCTTGATAGCGGAGCTCTCGCGTGCGCGAAGCGCGCAGTGGAGTACGATGGGTAAGAAAGTTTGGTGACCTATTCATCCAAGATATTTTGGTAGTCACGTGACCGTACGCCCGCCCGTCTGCCCGACCGACCGACCGTCCGTCCGCCCCCACAGGCATACCAACGAAAATAACCCAATCAACAATCAGGTATGGCAACTTAAGTCAATAAAGACGTAAAAGGAAAGCGGAAATTGTTTCTGTATCCGTGTTGTCTAAATTGGGAAAAACCACCTGCAATCAACCCCTTGAGATTCGCAGCAAACAGCATTTCTGATTGGCCGACAGAATGTCAGCCTGTCAGCAGATGCCAAATTCCGAGTGGATACAAACTTCAAAGTAATCGATACTGTCGGCTGTAATGCGGCTTGATTCGTGTTTGCTCGAAGAAATATATTATTTATCGTCATTATTTGTTCAACCCGATTCATCGCAAGAGTTTTTAGACGGCAAGAAGGAGAAAAAATACCTTGCACATT